TCACGCGCGCCCGCCGCGCATGTGGGACGCCTCTGCGGCCAGCGCACGCGCGCGCGGGCGCGCCGCCACCGCAGCCGTCGTCCTCGTCGTCGACGTGGTCGTGGTCTTCGTCTTCGTCGTCGTCGACGTCGACGTTGTCGTCGTCGTTCTCGTCGTCGTCGTCGTCGGCGTCGTCGGCGGCGGCGTCGGCGTCGGCGTCGTGGTCGGCGTCGGCGTCGTGGTCGTCGTCGTGGTCGTCGACGTGGTGGTGGTGGTGGTGGTCGTCGTCGTCCTCATCGTCGTCGTCATTAGCGTGAGTGTCGTCGTCGTCGTTGCGTTGTCGTCGTCGACGTGGTGGCCGTCGTCGTCGTCGTCGATCTCCATCCCTCTTCCTTCTGGATCACTCCTCCCTGTCGCACCCGAAACCGGTCGGTACGGCGGGCCGGGCGCTTCGCCTGAGAATTTCCCAGAATTTATGATTCTGAAGCTGAAAATGTGCAACAGTTTCACGGATGTCGGGCGGGCCGTCTTCAAAATGTGGCTATCGTCTTAGCGCCGCGCAGATTCGTTCTCAAAATGGGGTTCTCGCCCTAACGCCGCGCACATTCGTCTTCAAGTGTGCATGAGTTTCACGGATGGAGGGCGGTTCCATTTCAAATTGTGGATCTCGCCTTAGCGCAGCGCACATTGTGAACGTTTTCTTATTCGGCGTTTCGCCATTGGGCGACAAGGAGGGAAGGGGGGGGGTCTGGCTCTGGACTTCAGCTTACTGCGACTGCTTGAAAGAGCGCGTTTCTTTATTCGCGGCGATAACGGGCGTCATGAGAGGGGCCGGGGGGGCACAACGTAACCCCCCCCCTCTGACGTGCTGTTCCGACGCGCCACAGCGTCCGCGCGCACGACGACGACGACGAAGAGCGACGACGAGGACGACGACAACAACGACGACGACGACGAGCAACCACGACGACGACGACAACGACGACGACGAGCGACCACGACGACGACGACAACGACGACGACGACGAGGACGACGACGGCACCGACGAGCGACCACGACGACGGCTACGACGACGACGACGAGCGACCACGACGACGACGACGACGACGAACGACCACGACGACGACGATGGCGGAGCGACGACGACGAGGACGACGGCTCCGGAGGTCCTATGAGGTTTCCCGAGGCCTCTGGAGGCCTCCTGACGCCTCTGGAAGCCTCCGAAGGCCTTGCGGAGGTCATCCGAAGGCCTCCAAGGGCCCTCGAAAGCATTCGAAGGCGTTTGACAACGACGAGCGACCGCGAGCGAAGACGACCGACGACAACGACGACGACGATCATAATGACGACAACGACAACGACGACGACGAGCGACGACGACGACGACTACGACGACGACGAAGACGACCGACAAGGAAGATCGACGACGCCGACGACGACGACGACGACGACGAGCGCCGACGACGACGACGACCGACAACGAAGAGCGACGAGGAATTGTGGCGAGAACATATTTGCGAAGGCGTCGCTAGCTCCACGTGGCGTATAAGAGGTATGCTCCTTACCTCCCTCCGCCATCGTCGTCATCGTCGTCGTTGTCGTCGTCCTTTTCCTCCTACTGCTCTCTCGTATGAACAGTACAAGTGTCTGAGAGCACGACAACTTGCCCGCGACCACCGCCCGTATGCGAATATCTATGCGTATCCCTATGAGGACACCTGGGGATCCCTGTGCGCATCCCTATGCGGATCCCTATGCGGGTGCCTATGCGGATACCTATGCGGATCCCTGTGCGGAAGCCTATGCGAATTGCCATGCGGATCCCTATGCGGATCACAATGCGGATCCCAATGCGGATGCCTCTAGGGATCCCTATGCGGATCTCCACGCGGACCCATATGCGGATCTCTATGCTTATCCCTATGCGGATCTCTATGAGGATCCCTGGGAATCCCAATGCGGATCCCTATGTGGATCCCGATAGGCATCTCTATGCGATCCCGGGCTCCCAAAACGGACTCCGCTGCGCCAGACTGCCCGAGAGCCCCAACATTCGGCCTCAGAAGTCCGAGAGCCTCAAAGAGGACCTCACCTCAAAATACCCGCATCAAGCCTCCAGAGACCCCAAGGGGCCCGAAAAAAGGAGGAATGAACAAGGGGAAAGTAGAAACGACTAGCACGAGGAGAATACATCCGACATGACGCGGAAGAGCGCGTCACGTTACGCGGACCACCCAAGCTTGAGGACACGAGATGCCACACGTTACGGTGTTTTGAACACCCCTTGAACATCGCCACCCAAAGTGCCGAGTTGGCACGGCGGTAAAACTTGCCACAGGCAGCTGGATATGGTACCACTCGGTGACAGGAGTCCCTCAGAATTGCACGTATGACTGAGACGCTCCCCTCCCCCTTCACATTTACACAACAGGAATACTCCTCTCCTCTCTTTTCGAGTGTGCAGAGAATGTTCTGAGAATAGCCGCCCCCCCCTCCGCGTACTTGTTTTAACGCGCATGTCTTGCGCGGGCGAGCTTTCCTTGTGCTCTCTCCATTCGATCGGTTATGCTCCTTCCAAGACGGCGCTCCTGCTACATCGTCGGCACTATTCCTGCGTGCCCTGTCATTCCAGAATGGCGCCCCGGTACAGCATTGGCCTCGTATACACGTTCGCGGTCCTTCAAAATGATGGTCCCGCTGTCGCGTTGACCTCAGTCTGCGTGATTTTTTGGCCATTCAGAGTAGTGGTCCCGCTGTGCTGGTCCGCTGCAGCCTTGGCCTCGTCTCCACCGGTGTCGCCACCGCCGCCGTCTTCGTCGTCGTCCTCGTCATCTCCTTCGTCCTCGTCCAGGTTGTTTCCCTTGTCCGCATCTTCCCCCTCTTCCTGTCCCTGCCTCTGACTCCGCGTCCTCCTCTTGTTGACCATCCTGTGTTTCCCCTCTGCTCCTCTTTCCTTGTTCCTCCCTCTCCTCGTCGTCCTCGACGTCCTCGTCGACCTCGTCGCCGTCGTCGTCCTACTCCTTCTCCTTTTCCTCCTCCTCCTCCTCCTCCTCCTCCTCCTCCTGCTGTTACTCCCCCTCCCCCCCTCTCGTACTCCTATCGTCTTGACACCCTCATTAATCTGATTCCTTCCCATCCTCCTCCTCCTCCCCTTCCCTGCCAATCCTATCCATTCCTCCAACCCCTTCCCACCCCTTGAGCTCTGCGTCGAAGGCACTCCGAGACCCCGGCATCGGTCTGCGTGTCGAGGCTTCATGGTTCCCTCTGGCCCGTGTGCCCTTCGCACGGGGAACGACGGGTCAAGCACCCCAGACACCATCCGGGCGGGCATGCCCGATTCCATGAGAACACAGTCGATTCGCGCAGTGGGAGTCATGGGAGGGATGGGTTAGGATGCCAGGTGTGGCGCGAGCGCACCTGGCCTGCCCCCCTTCCCTCTCCCCCCCCCCTACCTCCCCCTCCCCCTCAGAGGCCTACCCGCTGCCACCCGACCCCCCCCTCTGCCGATTCCCGCTTCCTCCCCCCCCCCCATGTGTCCTCCTCCTGCGCGGCGCCAGCCGGCAACAGCGCGGCCCGCGCCGTGGGCCAGCCAGTGCTAGGTCGGGCATGTCCCCCTGCAGGCGGACTCTGGGCGAGAAGTAAAACATAGTCCAAACATAGTCCGCAATGATCCGTTGAAAAACCGCCCCCAGACTATGTCTGACTATTTTGGGAAGCTCCCTCCTGCAGAGGGACGGGCCTGACTCCTAAAGCCAGTGCAGAGGGGGGCGCGCGCCAGGCGCCGCCGCCGCCCCAAGCACGCCCCGCCCTGCCAGCAAGGGGGGTGCCCGACGCACCCAGGCCCACGGCTGCGCGCCACGCGCAGCAGCGCCCCGTCCAGGGGCGAGCCTGAGGTCGCGCACGTCCTTCTACAGGCGGACTTTGGAGGATGAAATAAAAGAAAATCAACAATATTCAAACATGATCAAACAAAGATTCAAAAACTCGTCCCCCGACGAATTGTTTGATTATCAATGGGCTATTTTTCCCCAATCAGTGCCTGCACTGAAGGGGTCCTGGCGGAAGTTGTAAGATTTTGCGAAATTTTCCCAACGATTTTGGTAGCAAGCTGGGTCCCGGCTTCCCGGTTCCGGGTTCCTAGGCTCCCAATTATTGGTTCTGGGCCGAGTTCGGTGGGTTCTGGGTCCCTGGGCTCACGGGTTCCGGGTCGATCTCCTCAGCGAAAACTATCCACTGAATGGGGCTCTCTGGTGCAACCCAATATGCCTCCTGGAAAGGGCTGCGCCCGACGGAACCCTGCCCACAGCTGCGCGCCACGCGCGGCAGCTCCGCGCCGAGGCGCGAGGAGGAGGAGGAGGAGGAATGGCAGGAGGAATGGGAGGAGGAGGAGCGCGGAAAGAGCCCCCTGCCAGGGCGGCAGCCAGCGGCCCCCCGCGGCCGCTCGACCGCCGCCGCGAGGCCCCGCCGCGGCCGCGGCTCCGCCGCGGCACGCCCTGGGGCACCGCCCCAGCGGGGGCGCGCCGCGGCCCGCGGAGGCGCGCGGCCGGGCAAACGCCGCGCGCGGGGCCGAGCGGGCAGGGGAGCGGCGGCAGCCTCCCTCGGCACCGGACCACGCCGATGGCCGGTGGTGCAACTGTCGACTGCAGTCAACCGGTACAATAAGGATGCGCGGCAAGGACGCAAGGGCCCTGGGCGCCCATGTCGAAGCCTTTCCAGCGGGGCGTGGCCGGCGCAAGCGGCGAAGGATGTACGGAGGAGGCAAGGATGCAAGGGTACCCTTGGGAAGGTTGCATAGTCTATGCGGGTATACTGTACAAGTCAACCCGCATAGTGTATGCATAGTCAACCCCATGCAAATCTATGCAACGGTACCCCTTGCATAGTCTTATGCAAGGGTACCCCTTGCAAGTCAACCCGCATAGTCTATGCGGGCTGGCTGTACACGCAAGAGTGACCCTGGGCAAGAGGGACCTTTGGTGCGCGGCTCTGGGGGGTTTGCGGGGGGCCAACACACAAGCGCGCAAGAAGCCACCGCCGCCTCGCGTTCGGCGACCGGGGGACCCCATTCGGCCCGCACCAAAGGTCACTCCGGCCAGAGGTCACTCTTACGTCTAGTCGAAACTGAGGGACAGGAGCACGGGCCAACATTGGGCTCGAGGGTCCACAAAGATCCCACCAGCCCTTTGGGCGACAGGTGGTCCAACGAGGGTCTCTTTTCTTTTCCACAGCCCCTCTTCATTTCGGGGAACCCTCCCCATCCCCTCCCTGAGGTTTTTGTTCGAGGGGCCGCGAGGTATCAGAGGGTCCTTTTTCGACCCCTGAGAGGGCCAATGTTTACCACCCCATCACGAGGATCGTGGCCCGCGCGGGGGGACGAACCCTCCTCTTTTGACCGGCCGCCTCCATGGCCCCAAGAGGCCCTCCAGAGCTCCCAATGGGCTCCCAAGAGGGCCCAAAGAGCGCCCCAAGAAGCCCCAAGAGGCCTACAAAAGGCACCCTAAAGGCCCCCAAGACGCCCCCGAGCGGCCTCAGAGAGCCCAACATGACCTCCAAGATGGCTAGGATAGCCCAAGCTGGCCCAAGATGGCTCCCAAGATTCTCCAAGCGGCCCCAAGATCGCTCCAGGACGGCGCGAGATGGCCACGGAGCCTCCCAAGCCTCCCTCGCTGATTGACTATGCGTGTCTCTTCCTCTCTCCCCCGTCAACTCTCACGGGCATCGCCGAACACTCTCGCGGCCGCAAGCGAAAACGCAGGCGGCGAGCAGGGTGTCCGGGCCAACGGGCAAGCCTAATTAGCTGCAGGGCGCAGCGCGAGCCGGCCGGGCCAGCCCCCCGAGGCAGCAGCTGCGGCAGTGGCGGCGGGGGGCTGACTGGCTGAACTGCAGCTGGTGGGGATAATTTTTTTTACAGCCGCAGGCGGAAGCGCCGGCGGCGGCGGGTCACGGTCGGGCTGCGGCCGTGACAAATTAGCCGGGCGCGCGCGGGGGCCGCGGAACAGGCGGCGGCGCAAGCTGCTGCCCAGGGAGTCTGAAGGGAAACAGCCACCCAGGAAGCAGGGAGGACGCTGCCGAAATGGCGCGAAGCACATCCCCAGTCAAGGATCGTGTCGGTCCGACAACCACAAGGCAGTGGGGATCTGTCTCCGTGCACGAAGGGTGTCAGAGAGCCCAGGGTGTCTGCCGGATATGAGCGAGACCGTAGGCAAGAGAGCTGACGTCGTCCAGCAGGGAGAAGGGACTCTGACAGCGCCAGCGAACCGTCGCAGTTTCAGAGAACGCATCCACGCGGCTGAAAAGGCACGCCTGAAGTCATTGACAACCGGAGTCAACCTCAAACCAACTGCGGAAGAATGCGTCTGCACGCGAAAAATCAACGACATGATGTGACGCAGTGCAGGGGCACACCTGTTCCCGACCTTGGCGAGAGACACGACGGCCAACCGAAGGTGACAGGGCGTGTACCAGGAAGCAACTAAGTGACATAACAAAGAGCGGCTCTCCATTCACGCTGAGGGACCAGAAAGAGGCAAAGCGCTCTGAGAAAGCTGCGCTGCCGCATACCCACTGCAGCACAAGCATTCCGTAGTCACGAAGAAGCCCAGGGAGTGGCCGCTCAACAAGGTTGAGCGTGGGAGCGACGATGGGGTGACGTCAGTGCGCACGGATCCTCGCGGGGGCGGTGCACCACTAGCCACTGGAGTAGCACGCCTGGGCCTCCGCTGCCAGACTGCGGTAAGTCATGTACGGAAGCACGCCTGCGACTCAGTCCGAGCAAGGCCGCAGCGGACCGGGTGGGCATTCCAGCCGGCGCAGCGGGGCGACCCACGTCACAAGACCGCCTGAGTCACGTTAAGACCCACTGACGATGAGTCCAAGCCCAGGGTCGCTCCCAGGGAAGGTGGAGAAGCGCGGCTGAAGGCCGAAGTATCTTGGGGAAACCCAGGGAATAAGAGCGCGGCTCTGGGTGTGACGAGGCGAAGCCATCATTGCGTCGGTCTCAGAAAGGCAAGGCAAAACCAGCTACAGCGGGGCCGGGGGCCACTATGACTACACGCAACACGAACGGGTGTTGCAATGCAGACGGTATTGCTGGTACACACACTTGGGTCCAAAGGCAGGAAGTGCACGTACCGGGGAGGGCGGCGGAATGCCGCCAAACGAGTATGGTGCCTGAAGAGCAGCTGAAGGCTGCTGTACTTGAGAGAGAACCCAGGGATTGAAAGCGCGACTCAGGACTGAGACGTGGCGGAGCACTTGCGTCGGTCACGAAGCCGCACGGCCGGGGACGGGATCCGCCCGGGCCAGAAGTGAGAACAACTACAGCGGGGCCAGGGGCCAACTAAGGTCTGCACGCAGCACTCCCCCGCGCTGCAATGCAGATGGTATTGCTGGTCGACACACTTGGGTCCTAAGGCAGGAAGTGCGTGTACCAGGGAGGGCGGCAGCACGGCTGCCACACGGGCTGAGAGAGCACAGGGAGGCAGCTGAAGGCTGCGCGAAGTGTGAAGTTCGGACGATACACCTGTCCCTCTAGGTGATGGGATGGGTGGGAGGGGAGCTCAGTCGCCCCATCGTTGCCTTTTTTCCCCACGTTCGTCTGGCCTGCCGCCACCACGCTTGCCTCCTGACTGCCAACGGTCGTCGTGCCAGCCAGCGCTCCAGTCACTCTGCCAGGTGTCCCAGGCGTCCCAGGAGCTAGTCGCCCGCTCGCGCCAGCTGCTACTGGTGGGGATACACGAAGCGTCAAGAATTAGACAAGCTTCTTGCCCGTCTGGGGGTGCTTGCCAGCTCGGATCGCAGATCTATGATGTCTCTGTCTGGATCCGGCAGGTTTATCCTCAGCTGGGCCCTTGCAGTCCAAGACAAGGTTACATTTAAGAGAGGCTAAGAAGTCCTGACGGAGTGAGCCCAAACGGCGGCCGAGCACTCCGTCCGGGCTTACTCCGTGCGGACATGTGGCGCGCGATCAGCGTTTCAGCAGGATGGAAGACGTCGTCGATGGTGGATCTCGCTGCGCCGTTGACTTGCACGATCGCTGGGCTTTCCCGTTCTTGGCTGTGCGCCAGGATGATGCAAGGCAAATCATGCTCAAAGCAAGGCCCTCGCCGAAATGGCAGGCCCAATTGTGCTGGTCTTTCAAGGGGGGCGCTTCTTGTAGCGAGAACGGAGACATGCAGGGGCGTATATGAGGAGGGGACGTGAGACTGCAGCATTGCTAATGCAGATCTGGCTTACTCTGGTCCTCCTGGACAAGACATGGCGCACCGAAGATCCTCCGACGAGCCGCTGAACAGCATAAAAGCCCAACGAAATGCCCAAGACCTCGGGGTGGCCTCACGGACTCTGAGAATTCTGGAGCCTCCAGCTTGCACGTGTCTGTGCTCGCCCCGGTCTCAGGCGCCGCCATGGCCTCCGCGCCCAGTCGGGGAGGTGACTGGAGCTGGGCGCCGCAGGCTTGGCTGCCCCTCCTCCTGCTCCTCGCTCCCTCCCCCGTCCTCCATCCTCCTACCCCCCGCCCCCTCGTCTTCCCCCCGCCCCGCCGATTCCTGCCACTGATCGCTCCTCCCGGTGTTCCCACACGCAGGGCGGCGCCCCTGCCGGGCCCAGCGGCGCCTTCTCCCTCTTGCGGGCCTTCAGCTCGCCGTCCGGGCACCTCAGTCTGGCCCCACGTCTGGCAGGCGGGGGTCCAGTGCGTCTCCGCAAGTCTGCTGCCGTTGGTGCTCTCTCTCGCTCCGTCACTCATTCTCTCTCTCTCTCTCTCTCTCTCTCTATCTGCTCCCCTCTTGTTTGGGGTTGTCATTCCTCTCTCTCTCTCGCTCTCTCTACATATGCGTATACATAACATATAAGCATGAGCATGTGTGTATGAGTGAATAATGTCCCCCTCTCTCCATCTCTCTCGTTCTCTCCATCTCTCTATCTCTGTACCTCTTTCTCTCCCTCTCAGTACCCTCCCTATGGGGAACTCTATTCCATGACGCTTCTTCTCCCGGGCTTCCAAGAACCACGTAGACGGCCCAAGTGGCTAGGACGAGAAAGAAATCACGATGCGATTGGCTCAAGACACGCCTCGGAATGCGAGGCCGCGCGGGACAGCGAAACAACCTGGTAATCTGGAGCGCCTCATTATCATGTCCTCCTGCGTTTTCTGCGTGGCGGTGTCGAGAAACTTCGTGCTTCGGGCGGGCGAGAATGAGTCGCCCACGGGTCACGGCATGGACGCCGAAAATGGTGTGGAGGGAGCAGGAGGCTTCAGAAGCGAGGGAGGGGTGGTGGTGATGGGGGGGAAGAACCATCAGACACGGTGTGGTCTGAACGAACGAATAGGCATGTCCGCGAGACCGCCGAAGTTGACCTGTGCAGGCGCAGAAGCCACCGTCGCACCAGCATTTGCTGGCAAAAACGCAACAGTCGAAGCTGGGGGAGTGAGTATCGGCAGGGCGAAGAAGAGCAGTAAGTGTGGAGTGGAGGGGCAGCGATCACGGCAAGCCGTGCCCGGGCAAGTGTTGGGACGCTTGTGAAGCCTATTGGGCCGTCTTGGGGCGATCCTCGAAGCCGCTTGGGGCGTTTTGCAGCGTCGAGAAGCGGAACAGGCGGAGACGCCAACATTGTTCAAAAACCTATGGAACATACATGCTCTTGTTGCCTCTTCGAGCTCTGTTGGGAGACCTCTTGGAAGCCTCTTGGGGCATCTTCGGGGCCCCTTGGGCCCTCCTGGTGGTCTCCTCCGGCGAAGATTTCGGGTTCTCGGTTTACGTTCCCGATAGTGGCTTTCGGCCCATCCCGCCAACTTGCCTGGGTTTTGGGATTGAGGCCTCTTGGAAATTCGTTTGGAATTCGTGGGAGGCTTCCCGGGGCCTCTTGACGGAAATTTTGGAGGCCTCTTGAGGGCTGTTTGGGGTGCTCTTGGGGCGTCTTTTAGGGCCTCTTTGGGGTCTCATGGAGCCTCTAGGGGGCCTATGGGGGGCCTCTTGGGCTCTCTTGGGGCCTCCTGGGGGCCTGTTGGGGCGGAAGGCTCGA